TTCTCGGTTCTGTCTACAATGGTCGTAGTCGTAAGAATAATCGACTGCGATTGGTCAATTCTTATCGAGCGACTACGACTACGACCATTGTAGACAGAACCGAGAATCATTGTAGCGGAGGCTTAACGCTTTTCGCTTAAATAACGCTATAAGTGTGCTCTCGCGAGAGGAACTGGAAATTCATCGCGATCATTATTATCCTGCTTGATTTCTTATTCTCTCTTAAGTTATTATCTAATATAATTCCTTCTTGCAGCTAATCTCGCTATGATGAAATTAAGTCTTACAATAGATACTCGCAGTTCTGAGCGAGCCCCTAATAGATTAATCCTCTTCCTTTACTTGAACGTTAGATTCAATTCCTTGTGTCTTTCCATAGTCTCGCTCTCATAACATTCTACAGTGAATTCGCGCTAGATACGTAAAATCAAAGGACAACTGGATACGTTCGACTTGCGGCAGTTGCAATCTGTACGCCACCGTCGCCGCGTCGTGGCGGAACTAGCTTCTCGTCTCGCGGTTAGTCAATATCGATCATCGAACGCGTGACAGAGAGTAAACACGGTCTTGAATAGAAGATCTGACTATGAATACTGGCCTATATGTCGATCCTTTTTTTCGAGATAGTCACTGATTTACAGTTATAAATATACCACTGTAATTTTTTTTAATTAAATTAGCGACTGTTCACTGCTTTCAGTGATAATCCACTGATTGACTTTTAGAGAGTAAACACGGTCTTGAATATAAGATCTGACTATGAATAACTGGCCTGTATGTCGAGCCTCATTCTTTCTGAATGGACCAAACATAGTTCTGACTTTTGACTAATGACTCATTGCAGACCACTCTCTAAAAGATTTACAGTGCAATTTTCAGTAGCATATGACTATTCACTGTTTTCAGTGATAATTCACTGACTGACTTTAAAAGAGCAGATGATCTTAAGTTTACGGTTTTATTTTCAAATCAAGATATAATGTGCCCGGGAACGATGGATTCGAATTCGAAACGTGAAAAGATTCAATTCGACCACACAAAATGATTCGTGCACCTCTAGTGCCGAGTTATCGGTGTCGATCGAGTGTGGTCCAACGACCGAGAGACACGCGCGCGAAATAGTAGCGCGAAGGGAGGAAAGGGAGCGAGAAGATTAGTTCGTCCGGGATTACTTAGGTGCGCTCTTGTAAGACGAGGCGCGCGAAGCCGGTACGCGAGCCACGATTACAGTTAGTCGCGGGAACCGGCGAGTGTGTGCAAGTTAGTCAAACGGTATTTGCCCGTTTCTTTTTTTTTGTCAAAACTTTAACGGGCACCGCGAGCTGCTCGACTGGCAGCCGATGCATCGCGTCGAGACGCCGATCTTCGTCGCTCTGTCAGACGTTCGCGATATTCGAAGGACAGGCGGCTCGCGAATCGGCAAGCGATGAGTCGCGGATGCAATTTCGATTATCGGACGGATAATCGAGATACTCGCTGTCGTTCGCGGGAAAAATGATCGTCTCGACACGCGAGAGGCACGTGAATTCGTGTTCGATGGAACGATAACCGGGATAGCATGACTCGGCGCAGCGTATCAAATCAATTTTTCACACGATCTCTGTGGAATGCGCTGGAAAATGCGTGTATCAGCGTGTCAAACTCTTAATCTCGAGAGAACGCAGCATCGATTGCTTATCGGAGATACGAGGGGAGAGGTGATAAATCGAAACAATACGCGGAATGTCGCTGCGAAATCGTCCGCTTTTGAACCAAAATTCTCGCGCCGCTCTCGAGTTCGGAATATTTTTACGGCGAGGGAAAAACGCTCGCTCGAGAGTAATCGAAGTACGCGACGCCTTAAACCGGCGCAAAATGATGGAGAACGAGAAATCGAAAGAGGAGCAGGAACGACTTGTCGAAGGGAAATGAAAGGAAGGAGAGGGTGGTAGTAAAGTGCGCTCTCTCTCGCCCTCTCTCGTGCGCGCGTGTCGTCGTATTTGGTGCGTGACAGCTGCCGCCGGTCTTGCTCAATCGGGGAAATATCAAGTTTCGTCTATAAGCGGGAAGGGTATTTCGAGATATAAACCGCCGTGCACTTATGAGATTCGAGTCGAGAGGAGGGAGAGAAAGAGACGGAAAGAGACTCGAAAACTTGGCACGGCGGAATTCCGATACGCGGCGAAACGCGGCACGAATTTTTCGAGCAGGGCTACATCGAAGTTAAAAAAAGTTCGAAGAAAAGTAAATTGCCCCCGGAGAACGTTCGTTCCAGTTTGGGCAAATTAAAAATAGAAAATAACTCTTAAAATAAAGAGGTCGACGGCAATTCGAACGCTACTTCTCGCATATTTTTATACACGGAGAGCATTTCCTTTTAAAATTTATTTTTAAAATCTGTGATCGTGGGACAACGCAGCATTGCGAACAATTTTATGAGTTTCTTGACATCTTTCCATACATTTTGCTAGTAAAACGTACGGTAAAATTTCAAAAAAAAAAACTCAGAGTTGTTCGAAGTGCCATGTTGTCCCACGATCACATGATTTTCAGGACAAATTTTAAGAGAAAATTCTCACCGTGTAAAATTTAGAGTTGGATAAGTCGATCGACCGCGAGTGCGTGTAACATAACTAATGAAACGGTAACCGGAAGAACTACAATAGTTCAACGGATTAGACGTGAATAAGATCTTGAACATGAGCGAACGAATACAAACTCATCCGTGTTGCTTATCCATGTGACGTTAATGCACCTTGCAAGCGCTAATCCGCCAACGCGCGGTGTACAATTAATACGAGCTTTCCGTTTACAGCGCATCTTACGTAACGCCATGATTATCGGCCATCAAGCCGATACTCCGCGCTCGAGCGGTCATTGAAGCGATGCAATGATCCTGTGAAGAGGCGCTCTCGGTGCGCTGATTCTCGCGTTCATGAGTTATGACTCTGTACGAGCAGGAAATCGATCGTTATCGAAGGATAGGCCGTTCTCTCGGGGGTCTACGAGCTCGCGGTAGCACTTCGCCCAGGTCGTGCCCAGAATAGTCAACCCCCGGACGTCGTAAAGGCGACACTTGACGCATTCGCGCGCCGCATCAAGTCCGGTTTACACGGCGCTCTTTTGTCAGCTGCCAAATAATTCCTCGGGGACGTGGCGAAGAACGCATCGACCGGAGCGGGGATATTAAGGCGATAAAAACTGCGTGCACTAATCCGCTAATTGCTAACGTAATCCACTTGTAAGCGTAATCTACTTTCTAAAGAGATATTGCGATGTTGCTAATGACGGTGTTCTACTCCGTTTTAGCGATATTGGTCGGAATTTTTAATTGAAGAGAACGTCGCTACGCGGAGAGAACTTTCTCTTAAAATTTACCGTGAAAATCGTGTAATCGTGGAACGACTTTATGAGTTTTTGTCAATTTTACCGGGCGTTTCATTAAGAAAAATGTAGCTGCCGTAGCTAAGAACTGTGGCAACTAAATTTCAATTGTAAAATACGGACAGTTAACGTTTAGTTGGGATAACTAAATATTTTGCTACTGTTCCTATTGTATTAAGCGCGACAGCAAACAGTTCGCTGTTATAGAAATTTGTAGCTAGGACAGCAAAATATTTTTAACAAACCATAATTAGTTACGGTAGCGAAAATTTTTGTTTCAGTACAGTAAAATGTATGGTAAAATTCTCGTAAAATTCTTCGAAACGCGTTGTCCCTCGATTGCATGATCTAACAAGATAAATTTTAAGCGAAAATTCACCGTGTAGCGATATCTTATTTGTGTTATGATTTGCTCTCGGGAGATATTACGTACGTCAACGTCGCACAACACGCTGCACTAAAATAATTCGACGGTCGTACACGCGATGATTTATTATTATTAGTTACTTCACGCGAACACGTATATTTTTTTTAATAATAAAGACGCCGCTAAGTACAGCTAGCACATTGCGAGAAGGTGATACGTCGTAGTTCTCGACGAATTGATTAAGATTAATGATTCGCCGGCGCGTGCAACCACCGCCGGGATGAGTCGTCTCGGCGAGATAAGCTACGGAGCACCTACGACTTTTACGGGTAAACGCGTGATTCAGCGCGCCGCCCATTGTACGCCCGTTCGCGTACAATCCGCGCGAACGAGATCATTGAGAAGTGATCGATAATTGAGTGCGTGACTCACCGCAAAGCGATTTGAGAATGTCAATAATCAAGCGAAGCGCGAGCGGAGGGAGAGAACGTGGCATTTAACGCGCCGATATTGAATTTGCCTTCGCACTCGAGGAAAAATAATTATACGCGTGAAACGATCGAGATAGGCGTAATCGACAAGCCCCGCGATCTGCCCGGTGACAGGCGCGCTTGTGTGTAATCATTCAAGCCGGAAATTCGAGTCAATAGTGTGGTTTTCTCTGGAGCAGGATGCTCATTAATAACGAGATCGTATGTGCTAATACGCTATCAATCTACGCCTCGTAACGAAAAATTATCGCCGTAAGAACGTCGAAGGTAAATACGATCGTACCGCCCGGACCGGAATCGAGGCAATTCACCTGCGCAAACAATTGGCCCTAATACGACTGACATGATTTTAAGATAATCATGAGGCTCCAAATCAAACTAATTTTATTCATTCTCATTTTCGCCGATGTTAAACCGAACAACGAACAAAGTATTGAATTAAAGATACGCGAGCTTCCAATTCCTTCGGCGGAGAGAGCACATTTTTGTCATCTTCTCGCAAAAGTATAATGTGAAATTACGTTCATCAATTAAATTAAAGCCTGCAAAGATAAACGTATAACGATAAAAAGAATTGTTAGGCGACATTAGGCTGACAGATGGTTTATTTATTTAATTCCGACGTTTCGACCAAGCGGTTTGTCGTCCTTTTCAAGGAATTTAACGATCTACAAGTTTTCAGAGAGTTTTCATGAACGTATAAGTGATTATCGCGCGATTAAAATCACTCCTGAATATTTCGGCTTGAAAGATAAGTCGACGAGGCGACAAGGACTTACCGGCTCCTTATCCTTTTCGGTAGTCTCATCTTTGTCCTTTTCTTTATCGTCGGCGGAGTCCGTGTGCGGTGCTATGCCGTTGGTGGTGGGCTTCGTGTCGGCCTCCTCGATCCTCTCCAGCTTGCCGTCGCCAGGTGCGGCCGCGTCGCCGACGACGCCTCCCTCGGCGGGTATCCCCTCCTTCTTCGGCGTCGTCGTTATGTCCACGGACCTCTTGCTCTGTCTCGCTCCCATGTTTGCTTCTTACCGTGTCGTGCCACCTGTCTCTATCTCACTCGCTCTCTGGGTACCAGGTGGCGTCCAGCTAAACTGGCCTGCAATCAGAGCGGGAGAGAGAGTTGATTAAGTTCTTTTTCGCCAAATTATCCAAGGCACGGCGAAAAGTAACGCTAACGCGGCCTACCCTACGATCAGGTAAAGAGCGAAGGGAAGTGGAGTCGAGGGATCGGGAGAGCCTGGCAAATCTGCGCTCGTTCTGCAATTTGACGCGGTTACACGCGTCGATCTGCACAGGCGGTTTCGCCGCGGATAAGTTCATCCGTCTCGCGATACGCGGAGGAGCGGGAGTAACTTTCACCGTGGCAGAGATACATCGGGGATTCTCTCTCGGAGCTCGCTCGCGTCGACGAACGAGGATCTGGTTATGAGGACAAACAAATCTGAAACGCAGCGGTCGCGATTCGAAAATGACGCAACTTACGTTCACCTGCGCCAGATTCGATCTGATAAGCGAGATTTACGTTCGGCGATTCGCACAGCCACGCCCTTCGTAATTAATAGCGACTTTCGTGCAGATCTCTCTTTCTTGCCAGAAACGTCTCCTCAAAAATTCATTCGTATCGTACGCGACAATGTCGAGCGGTTGAACGATAATAAAGTCGTACGGAAGACACAGTTCGGAAAACAAAGAACAACGGCTATAGCACAACGGAAAACTTCTTCCATCGAGAAACAACTAGGCATTGTCCTACCCAAGGATTCGCTTGTATTCGTTTCCGTTATTGTGTTCGGCTGAAACGCGAAAAAAGAGCGTGGAATTGCCAGTAAACGCGTGAAAGCATTTTTGTCAACACTATTGAGGCTATCATTTGTTACAAAGCGTTTAATACACCTAACTGTTTTATGTCGCAAAAAACTGTATGGACTGTATTGCTTTTTGATCGAGATAAATATCCAACGTCGATTTCGAGCTATTATTCGCGCTATTATCTTTCCATTTTAGGGCGTTGAACTTGCAGAGACGTCAAGTTCGGGACGCGCGTCACCGACGAACAAATACAGGTCGCTCTTGTCGCATTACTTGTGGCACTCGAAAGGGAGCAGAAATACACGCCGTCGTCACGATTCTAATTATCCTTGGAAGAGGAGAAAAATAGCTCGGCTGGAAGACGTCGAAGAGCGCGAGCGAGGGTAACGGTACCGCGCGGCGATGGCTTCGCCAGTAACGAAAGCGGAAACGCGCCGTACCGAGGGAACGGCTGCGAAAAACTGGCGCGGCGTGGCGAGGCGCGCTAAAAGCCAGGCTCACCTAGGCCACTCGTTTGTTGTGCGCGCGTTAACGAGCATTTAAATAACCACGTGGCTCGCGCGCGCACGTACGCACGCACGCACGCACGTATCGCCGCCGCTCGTACGCGCGCACGCGCGCGCGAGCAGCTGACGGCCGCGGTGCGTAACGCATCTGTGGTCGCGACTAAACTTACGCGAGGTCGTCCTTTGTGTGCCAGTCGGCGAGGCAGCTCGAGGGAGAGAAACGATTGGAAACGTCATTCTTTGTGGAAAAACCATTCTCTTATTTGATTCCAGGTGGATCGATTTACAATGAAAATGCCTTGACGGACCCTTGGCAGAAATGTATGCAATTTTCCTAAAGACCCTTCGGCTACTGTCTAGTATTACTGTATTCTCATTAGTTGGGACCGAGGGGAAAACCGCTGACCAAAATCTTGTACACCAATGCCCAGTGGGCATTACTTTATCTTATTTATTTTGTTTTATCTTATTTCATCTTATTTTATTTTTATAATGCCCCAGCTAGGCCTAATGCCCAAAAATGCCTAGCAATGCCCAGCAATGCCGAAAATCTGTACACCACAATGCCCTCAGCGGTTTCCCCCGTGGTTGCGACAGTATAACTGCACAGAAAATAGATAAAAACCTGATGGAGTTTTATTTAATGACTGAAGCAGTTTTCCTGGTGAAAATATACGCAGTTTGCGTAGACATTTACCATTGAATGTTTCATTTATTGTTCTGTTTTTGTTTAGTAACTGGGTTTATATTTCGCGTATCTTTTGTGCGCAGTAATCGCGGGGAAAACGTTACATCCTGACGTGTATCCTAAGTAGCTTTACTTCTCAGAGCTACTAAGACACAAGTTAATGCAACTGTGTCCAGTAACTGCTAAAAAAATGCACGACATTTCTACCGGGGACATTAAGGGATATATTCTGTGAAATGCAATTCTCTGTAACGCCGTATCTCCATGTAACACCGTTACAGCAAGAGAGAAAGAGCGAAGAGAAGAAAGAACACTTATAAGCTTATAAATCTTCTCACAGAATACAGAGCTCTCTTGTTCGAAATTGCAGAAACTATAACAGTTCAATTTAAGAATATCCCATTTAAGCCAAGATTTTCCGTGGACAAACCTTTCATCTCATTAAATATCAATTCAATATTAAATTATCAATCGCAATATTTATAACGTACTGTAAAATGTATTATAGACATTTCTGTCATTAATAGAAAAATTTATCAATATCATTAAATGTTCTTCTAATTTTCAGTCGCAATGAATTGTAAGATACGTCTGTATCTGACACATATAAAACCGAGATTCTCGTAAGATAGGTTCAATAGAAATAGCGATAGATAAAGAGCAAACAAGCACATGCACTATCAACATTAGCACACTTTTATTTCGCTTTGAAGTACGCAGTTCTCGACGTAACCGCACAGAATTCACCCGCTGTGTATAAAATGCCTCGTAACCGATATATCTGATAATCTTTTAAACGTCTCGCGACACTTGACGTTAATGTTTAAAAACTCGATAGCCCGTGCTCAAAGTCAATAACTCCTATCGAGTATAAACGGCTCTCATCTCGACGTATCTGTCGTGATGTCACGCCGTTATTGTACACTTACTTGTACCATTTCCACTTTTATTCCGTCAGATACCTAAATTTCGCGATTATACGCGGAAATCTTACGTATGCGGCACCAGGTAACGTCTGAATTTTCATCGCGCGCACCTTCCGGATCTTCGCCGAGGAAAAAAGTCCCGTTAACGAGGCGATTTTCATCGCGCGGCGCACGGCGAAATTGCCTTTCTGCTTTCTAGCGGTGATTCCGTTTCTCGAATCAACTCGCGCATTCCCTGTCGAGTCACGTTGAACGAACGAAAGTCAGAGTTACAGTTTAAGGGGATGCTGGAGTGATCCTGCACTTTTCGCGCCTTTGCTCCTAGACCTGTCAATTCATGAAAACATTTGTGTAATATACAATTTATGCGGCTTTACTAATTATAGGCCTCGTAATTTGTGTATTACACAAATGTTTTGTGAACTGAGCGACAGTTCTAGACGCAAAAAGTGCGAAAGGTGCAGGATCACTCCAGCATTCCCTTAAAGCCTGGTCTACAATGAGACGGAAGTCAGTAGTTAGCAGACATAAGTCGGAACTCACAAGTCGGAACGCGGCAATCATAAGAAGATTGCCGAAATCCAATCCTTCTGACTTATAGCTCATACGTAACTTATGATTGACCACTCAGAGCCAATCGTATGCCCAATATTTTCATCGTTTCACAGGCAAATGATTGCCTATAAATTTCCTCGTCTCTGATTGGCTAGTGCCTTATGACTCGTTGTGGATAAATATTTTTCTTTATGATTTGCAACCGTAATGTAAAGTCGATTCTCCCGGCGATTGGATTTCGTTCTCGCGAGAACAGAACCGCGCGTTAACGCGAGGCGCGGCCGCCCAGCTACGTCATCACTGTCACCGCGTAACGCCATTTGTTTCAAGGTATCCTATTCACGGTGCATTGCACCTCGCTCGTCGTAGCCGTGTATCGGCTGGCGCGCCGCGCGTCTAGCTGTCGCGCGGCGCGCCGGGTGACGGATCCCGAGACGGAAACGCGATGACACAACATTGTTACCTCCGCGAGAATTCCTCGCAGCTCCGCCCGCGTAATTTTTGACACGTCCCGTCACCACTCGGCGGCGGGGTTTAGCGGTCGGGAGGCGTCGGGAACGGACGTTTGTCGACAAGTTCGCGCGCGCAAGTGGCGCTCCTGCGTAAAGATTGTAATAAATAATAGACGACAATCTCTCGAGAGGGATCCACGTCACCCACGGGCGGAGCACGGGAGCTATTATTACGGTTCGCCTCTCCGGAAATAATAGAACGCGATGCCGCCGCTGTGGGCTAACAAATGAGATGTTCCCCCACAAGCCGAATTTTCGGAACTCGTTGCAGCAGACTCCGCACAAAAGCTCGGCCGAGAGAGGGAGGCGTTCCGCGCCGTTTCATCTTTATTTCTTCCTGAATTAGCGGAGTAATTCGTGCAGCTTTGCCGAGGGTAAACGAGGATATCGACTCCCCCGTCCCGTTTGCGCGGTCGATTTTATTCGCAGGCGCGCACATCCCCGAGAATCACGCGTGGCCGCCTAAAAGGCCTGCGTCCACGAGGCTGGAACTTGGTCCAAGTTCTAGGCTCCGAGAAATGTGCAGCCAATCAACCTGCAGCTCTTCCATAAAAGCTCTCGAAACTAGAACTTGGACCAGGTTCCAGCATCTTTATTTCTTCCTGGATACAGGTCTTTGGAGATCCCGCATGCCGGAAGAATCATCGTCGAAGCATCCGTGAAAATAGAAAAACAAGGAGACGTAATTAGCGCCCGCTATATCGGGCGGCGGCAGGAAGAGTTTCGACAAATATTTATGTTATCCCATATCGCGCTCGCGTGTGCACCACGTGGGACCACGTGCGTCCCGCGGAGCGTCGTTACGGTAAGAAATAGCTCCACTTGGTGTGCACGGCAAGTTCCGTAGATGATCACACGTGTGTCCATCCACGAGGGAAGAACGTGGGAAATGGAAAATCGCCTCCGAGGAAAATCGGTTATGCACTTCGTTTCGAGTTCTCTTCTCGGCTTCTCTCTCTCCCTCCCTTCGTCTCGCTCTCGTCGCGTTAATCATAATTCCAAGCGCGAATTTCCGGTGGCGGAGGAAGGTCACGGAGGCGTATCGCGGACGCGCCGCTATATTTAGAGGCGTGTGACATCGTCGGGACTCCGCGTCGCCA